TAGCGTCCGACGCTCGATGAGAGAGAGGCCTACGTGGGGCCCGAGGACAAACCCTTTCAAGCCTTTCTTATACGAGGAGGACTTCGACTGACGAATCTTCCTCAACTGGTCGCTCAGGCCTTCTGTGGCGCCCGTCTTGGGTCTACAGGGGCCTATCAGACCCTCGGAGGGATTGCCTCCAGAGCTGAAACAACCGCACTTGACACAACACTGAATTCTGCCCCTGGAATTTCCGATGGGGTCGAGAGCTTTGCCCCCCCTAAGGACAGCATGCCCATGGCAACGGACAACGACGAGCGCTGTCGTCTCCGACGCCCCCGAGCCCTCCTCCCTCCCCCACGGGCCGCCCGTCCTCTGCCATCGGCTGGCCGAGGGGGTCGGCGTCGGCGTCGGCGCCAGGCGGCCGCGAGGCACGACAGCCGCAGGCAGGGAGGGGCGCGGAGGGGGGGCGAGGCCGCGGGCGCCTCCAGGCGCGCGGGGTGTCCCTGCCGGGCAGGGAAGGCAGGGTGACCTCGAGCTGCGCGGCCCGCCTTCTGGCCTCCATCGCCAGGATCGTGAGCCGTCTCCACGGAACGTGAAAACGACCACAGCCACTGCTTTTCTTTTGTTGCCGCCTTCCAGCCAGCAGAAACAAAGCAGTGGTTGTGGCCATTTTCATTAAGCTCGGCATGAGGGAAATGACCACAACCACTGCTTCTTTTTCGGCTGGCTGGAAGGCGGCGCAAACAAGAAGCAGTGGCTGTGGTCATTTTCCCGTCCCGCATTCTCCACAGGTGCATGTCGGGCAGCTGTGCGCCCATGCAGGCCAACCCCTGGCTCGGCGAGACATCTGCGTGCGGATCCGCGCTCTGCTCCCTCGCCGTGGGCGCCCCAGACTGGGCGTCAGTGGCCGTCGCGTGGGCCTTGGTCTCGAAGCACTGGAAGTCGTCCTGACCGAGAGCGGACCAGAAGGGGCCCCAGAGGTGCCCCCCCTGGGAGCCCCTGGGCCCACGAGAGTACCCAGGCCCGTTGGTCAAGGAACCCAAGGTCGACTGGCAATCTGTACACAGCTGAAACGGAGGGAGGCCGAACCGGGTCAACATCTGTACAGCATAATCCTCCCGTCTTCACTTGTCTGCTGAGGGGCGGCTCTCACGGGTACAGCTCCATAGACTGCAGAAAAAGAGGTTACCCAACATGTCAACACTACATATTGTCCAGCCTGCACGAGACATACCTTCCAAGTTGCCCCACTTGGCGGACCCGTCGAGGAACAGGAGTCCTAAGAGCACACCTGAAGAGGGACGATTGTGCCACCGAACTGCCTCCTGAACCTCGGGGAGCTCGAACAGGACCTGGGGGTCGGGGAAGATCCCACGGGCAAACCTTTCACTGAGGAGTGGGATGTCTTTCACCCTGTCAGCGCATTGTTTCAGCCTGTGTCCTACAGTGCCGTTTTTAATACATGCTCCGCTTGCGGATCATGTATAAAACTACAGGGTTTAGCATTAAAAACAACGATGAGCTCATGCATACATTTCTCATACATAAATCATGTGCTGAAAATCCTCTATCAAACACATCCTATGTATTACAACCTGCCCTGTACTTGGTCTCGGCGCAGCGCCTCGTGCACGGGGCACGCGTGCTGCCGATGCCACGGAGTGCCAGGCGCTCCGCGACCGAGTTGGCAGATGTGATCGGGATGCAGCCCATGACTGCACAGCCTCGCCTGAGGCCAATGCACACCTGAAACCAGGCCCCGGGGACACCTCTGGAAATGCTTGATTCACGTTGCACTCTTGCTTTTGACGAGCTTCCGAATCCCACTCCAGAACATCGGAACACACTGTGACCCACACGGGCCGTTCTGAGTACTAAGAGCGTGCCGATCAGTCTGCCGAAAAGTTCGTTGCCTAACTTCTTTTCTGATCGGCATCTGGGACAGCTGCAGAAGGTTCAACTCAACCCTGAGGTCCGAGACGATGTGCGAGCTGTCCTTGCAGTCCCAGCCGATCCCACGGATGCCTAGCAAAGCCACGTCTGCAGGCGACGCGCACGCTCTCCAAGGGTGGTCCAGCTTGGACAGTTTGAGCTGGCTATGCTGGATCGTGTTGCCTAAGACCTGTGCATTCGGAACAGCCTCCCAAGCAGCAGTGGCCCACATGAACAGCACATGCCCAACATAAACGATAAGCGGGTCAATCTTGGGCCCCAACTCGTATGTGAACATTCGGAGTCCCACCGAGGCCCCCCCGCGGGAGCCTAGCTCTGCCATTCGAGTCGGAGCTATACCTCAAACACGGGAGCCCCATAAAGCCACTGCCGTCGGGCCCATTCTGCGCGCCATCGTTATATCAGCCCCAGTACCCTGCAAGATCTTCAAACGACGCGCTTTGGACGACGCCTTCGACACTTTGGTATTCTGGATGCTGATCCTTCTCACTCCCCCCAGGGTCGCATTCGTCCCCAAGTTCCTCGCAGGATCCGCCCTGCACGACGCGGGCACCGACCAGAGCTCGCGCAGGTGGTGGTCCGCCTCTCTGGTGCAGAGGTGGGCGCACCTCTCAAACTCAGCAGGCAGCTTCAGCAACTTAAATGACAGGACCAGCGACTCGACTGCTCCTGCCAACCGAGAGGCAGCCTGGTAGTGCGAAATCGTCCACGGCGTTACGCATATACAGCAGGTGCCCGTGCTCACGCGCCTGCCACACAGGAGGAGGAGGCGGAGGAGGAGGCGGAAGAGGATGAAGAGCAACACGAGGAATACGACTAATCATAGTAAGACACAGCAGCAACACGAATTTTAACACTACTAATGGTATTGCGATTTATATTCGTCAGACTCTTATGGGGACTACTATCACGACCACACATAAAACGAACGATAAGAGGAACATGGCTACTAACACTAGTAATGCGAATCGTACTAGCAGGAATGGTAACATTAATCAGACGAACCATGAGGCACTAACCATTCATAATACGAATCAGATCAATAAGAGTAATACGAAACATACACACTACCACCCATACTAAGAGCAGTAATGTGGCTACTGCTACTACTATTCACTAAGTATAATAGTACGAAGAAGATTACTAATACTATGACTACTAAGAAGAGTATTAGTTTTAATGCGAACAGGACTGCTGCAATTTATTAGCAATGCGAGTAACACGAAAACTACTACTGCTCATAGAATCGTTAGCAATGCTTTCATTCGTACTGTTCATATATGCAATAATATTACACATGCCAATGAAAATGATAACCGTAGCAGTAACATTAGGAGCATGCGAACACTAGTGCTAATACTCATACTACGACTGATAAGCATAACAATCCTACTACGAAGACGAGTAACCAACGTAATACTACAAATAATGACACTAGTGAGAAGATGAGGAGGAGGAGGAGGCGGAGGAGAAGGAGGAGGAGGAGGAGAATGAGGCGGAGGAGGAGGAGGAGGAGGAGGGGAGGGAGGGAGGGAGGGAGGGAGGGAGGGAGGGAGGAGGAGG